TACGCCGGGGTAAGGAGGGGAGGCTAGACCGTCCAAATTCACAGCCTCTTTTTTTCTGGTCTTCCCGGTCTACCAAGGACCCGGCCCACCTCGATCAGGTAGTCTGGGTCCTCCGGAGACCCGGCCTGTCGTTTTGGACACAGCCACTGTTGCTGTCAGAGGTGTGACCCCCCTGCTGTTTGCAGCTTCGAGCCTCAGAGGAGTATGAGGAGCACAGCCCTAAGGGGTCACCTGGGTGTACCTGGGCTAACGTAAGGGGTCTGGGTCAAGGAAGTGACCAAGTCAAATAGGAACCTTGAGCCTCCCAGAACTGTCTGGACTGAGTGCAGCTGAAATTCCTGGTTGAGTTTTGATTGATGGTAATTATTGATCAAAGAGGTCAGAGGTCAGGATTCCTTCACAGTAAGAACAAAGAAAAAAAAAGACCAAACAAAAATTTCTTACTTTTTGCACAGTTTAGATAAAGTCATGACAATAATACAACAGAACACAAACAACAATCATGTTAACTTGTTTCAACTCACCTGGAAAAAGTTCCTTCTCTCTTCTGGATCTCTCAGCAGGTTCTGGACGAGGTCCACAAAATGAGTGTCTGGTGTGTTGTTTTCTGACTGATGACAGAAATAAAACATCTCATCAGAATCTGGTCAGGAAAACTTTTAGTTTACAGTRAATGTGAGCAAACACAACGACCGCAGCGTCTACCTCCACGTTCCACAGAGATCTGAGGTTCTGCATGCGGTCCAGGTGTGGCTGAATCCCCTGGAGGTCAGCGGTGTCCTCAGATCGACACAGTTCAAGGATCAGCTGCAATCAAAGTGCAAACACTCAGGGTTGATGTGGGAGTGAGAGTAGGTGATACAAAAGTCTGTATAACATTGTGCTTATTGCTGAAAGAGGAGAAAGACCTTATATGTTCTTTGTAAGGTTTAGTAAAATATTCATACACTGATTTATATCGTATCATGAGATAAGTGTATCCATACAGCCCTAAGTCTGTGTGATTTGGGTGAAACTGAAAAAGAGATTARCTTTTGTTTTATTGTCCTCGTACAGTATATGATATTGGGAAATTAATTGTTTAATAAAGTTATTAATTAGCACAGTTTTAGTTAAAAGCCTGGCACCTCAGTAAGAGGACACTTTTTGTTTAAAGAACATCTACGTCTGTCCGCCTGTGGGAATGTAATTTGTTTGGCCGGACACTTGTAGTTTACGACACAAAAAGAAAACTACTACTACTTTTATCATTTCAATAACAATAAATTTACTTAATAGCAACATTTGTGCATAAATTGAAGTTGTTTTAAAAAAATAACTGTCAACTAGATAACTGAGCCAGTGAAACCTTTTACCAGCCACTATTACTTTGTTTGTTTGTTTGTGTAACATTGTGGCATTTAGACAATTCATGGTCCTTGGTGGTGTGTTCACAGTTTGTGTCTATTAGATATTTGCACTCAAAATCTTAAATTCACAACAGGTGTGTGTTTTCCTGCCTAAACCCATTCATTTTGTGTCAGAAAGCACTGAAAGTTTATTTCTATTCAATTGAACTGTTTTCAACATACAGTGGTTTTAGGTTAAAACATTTTGTTAAAGTATTCAAGCTAGTCTGTTGGCCCAAAATGGAAAATATAGCATTTTATTAGACCTGCACCTTTCTGTTACCTCTCATTACCAAAAACCATGCTCACTGCTTCAGTTCTATGTAGGTGGAAAACCTCTGATTTTAGGTAAGCTACATGAAAAGAAATTAGTTATTTTTGGTTGGCCAGGAAGTTAAAGTTTAATAAAGTTTTTTTGGACAGATTTTTATGTTTAACAAAAAAAAAAACATTTAAAACAAACAAACAGACCAAAAATCAACTAAAGTATTTTACTTATTATTACAAGCCTGTGGTAATTTTTCCTTTTTAATTTGATAAAATCATCCTTTTGTTTTTATCTCTTGTAGATTTTGCTCTGTACTAAATGAATAAGGGTCTTTTTCTACTTTAAGTCAGTTTTCAATAACAGATGGGAAAAAGAAGTTTGTTTTGGTCAATGTAAGTGATCACGGTTTTATTTTTATTAACTTTTATTTGATATTTTTGTGTTTTGACTTACAGACTAGTTTTGCCACACTGTAAGTTAGTGTTTTAATCAGCTGAACTCAGGTTTTTGTGTCAGACTGTCAGCCTACACAGCTTTGCTGTTTGCCAACAGCTGAAACAAAACTGGCTGCCCTGATAAATAAAYGAGTCGTCAACTCATTACTGTCAGGTAGGAATGTGCGATATGGCAAAAAATTCATATCACGATACACATTATGATGAGTGGTGGTAACGATATATATCACAATATAAAACTTATAATAGAAAATAAATAAATCTCATTAACTGAGTGGAATAAATGTGTATAGGTAAAAAAATTTAGACCTTAAAATCTCCTTTTTAAAGAACACTTTAAAGTCTCCCATAAAAATCTAAATTTAAGGGAGCTCTACCTGGTTAAATCAAATATTACTCACACACACACACACACACACACATTAATGTAAYAGATRTCTGCATCCACTGGATGTTGTGTTGGAATCACCTGCTTTGTTTTAAGGTGGTAAAACAAATTGTTTGTATTTATTCCTTTCTACACACTTTGCAGATTATTTTTTCTGCACTCCACCTGTTTAATCTGTGCGCTCCGGCGGGGTGACAATCATCATGTTTATGATTTTTTTTTTTAAAGACAGTCTGACTGTCAGCCTCTCTCACAGTTCTTCTCTGCTGTACGAGGAGACAGTAAAGCTGAGTTATAGTCGTGCATTCGACCGTGCGTCGTCGCACTATGACCGCAGGAGAAACGAGGTCCAGACTCAKRGCTTTTGTGAGTCCTGCAGCACTACTTCACCTGCACTGACTGTCGCCTCGCTGCGTCATGTGCTGCTGCACACGCTCCTCCTGCAGCAGGCAGTGTGTCGGTCCGACCGGAGCACACGCCGTCACGTAAACATGTAAACAGTTCAACGTTCATTTTCACACACCTGAACCAGGTCCTGATAAGTTTTTTTCCCCTCTTCATTTGCGCTCTCAGCCTCACTGCTTCCTGTTTTGACTCCAGCTGGTTACATCACCAAAAACAAATGCGCGGTTGGCTGGTAGACTACAGATCTCTATCATAGGACTAATTTATATCGTTTCTACTGTTTATCGTTTATATCGCACAGTCCTACTGTCAGGTTTATTATTCTTTTCATTTTACATAAAAAATAAAAGTCATGTAACTTTCAATTCTTCCTTTGGTTCGTTGAAAAACAGTTTTACCTGCCATCTGTACCGCAGTTCAAGTATGTTAGTGAGTTCTTCAGACTTACACACCAACCCATAGTTTTACCTGCATTTAACCAGTGGTGGGTACCAACTTCCACCCCTGGTAATGGTACACAGCTTGTTTTAAGAAAGTAATTACAACTAATACCTATTAACTACTAATACAGGGACGTTTCAAGTACCTTTCAGGATAAATGTACAATTACTTACAGCTACCATTGAGTGTTATCAATAAACAAATGTTTCATTTCTCAAAGGGCTGCATCGTTGACTCTGACTCAATGTGAAGATCACACACAACGTCCATGTTGTTCTACACTCATTAACTACATTGATCATGTACAGGAAACAAGAATGCAGTGCTGAAAGAACACAAATTAATACAATGACAAGTTGTACTGGACAGTTTTAAACAGACTGCAACTACAACCAGTTTTTATAGATGACAGAAACCTGAGAAATAAAAAATTTACCAACCCATGTGAGAGTAACATACAGGTTAATTTCTTAGTTTGAAGTGATAACTTCTTGTGAACACAAACACCTGTGTGATAAAAGAACTCACTCGTGCTCTGAGACCCAGAACGAGTTCAGCTCGCTGCCTCGGTGACAGAAGCTGAGGAACAATCTCTGTGACCATAAACACAAACTCCTCCAGGAGGCCATAGTCCGACACGATCTTCTGCTCCACGGTCTGCCAGACGGCAGCAGAAAGCAGACGGATGGGTGAGACCAGGAGGCGCAGAGTGGACAGGGACAGAGTGGGACCTGCGAACAGGAGAAAACACTGTGAACATGTGACCTCTTTCAAATCAAACCAGRGACAGCTGGGTGATGTAGTCTGGTTTCATGTAGGAGCATAAATGTTTAAAAATGTGCCATTTACCTCTCATCAGTGTTTCCTCTATCATTAAAGCCTAATATTTCTCAGCATTTACTCGTTTTTATTTAAATAAGTTTCATCTCTTTTTTTCAGTAGTGTATCACATAGGGCTGGGCGATACGGCCCAAAAAATAAAACTGATTTTTTTCATTCCAAATTTGATTTTTGATTTTAATCGACTGTTTCCCACTGAACAGAGCGCCTCTGTTTCAGGTGTTGAAACTGTTTTTTTATATCCCTGCTTTTTGTATCAAGAGCCTTCAAACAGATTTTGCAGTGAGCAGGGTTTGCCCTACAGGTAAATGATGGTGGCGCACCGCCACGGCTAAATAAAAGCTGCCACTCCTTCAGAATGAAGTTTTTTTTTTTTATCAACGTAAAACAGGGGTTGACACAATCATTGTTTAGTTTGTTTGAGACGACCTATTTTCATTTCGGACAACCAGATCCCGCCTCCCAGTTGTCCTGTGGACATCCAAGAAAAAAACCCAGATTAAAGTTTTCCTCCACGTGTTCRTCATTTTAAAAATGAACGGGAGAGAAAGAAACTTGTTAAAGCTGTCGAGGGATTAAACTGACCGTTCTTTCACCCAATAAAGAGAACCAGAGTCAAAGTTTTATCCAATCAGAACAGAGCAGGGCGGGTCGTACCGTCTGACTGACAGCGCTGACTGTTTCCTCTCTCTGTGATGGAGGGTCAGCTGGGCTCAGACCAACATGTCCCAGGAAAGCCCTCAGTGTTTCCTGGACTGTTTCCACTGAGGATTATGTCATATTTTATATATATATATATTATATTCCTCACAGCATTTCTACCAGAACACCGAGTGTTCACGACTCGAGCACAAGAAAACTGCCACAGATCAGCTGACTGTTTTTAAAGTGAGGGTCTCAGGGAGGCAGCTGGACCAGCAGCTGCTCCTCTCCACACGCATCGCGGCTCTGACCAGCCCGGGACTTTAAAGTCCACATGTCAACCCCTTCAGATGGTTACTTGTTTAATGACCATCAAAAACCTGTCATTTGGGCAGAAAAAAATCAGTTTTAATCACGCAGGTGGAGTGGAGGTGCAGGAGGACCACAGCTGTGCGGGGTGGGGAGTGGGGGGTCTTTTAAAGACATGTCTACGTTTGACTTTTATTTTTTCTAAAATCACAGAGTTCTGAGTCAGCTTCAGGTGCTTGTAGTTAATATCTTATAAATTTAACCAGGTGCTTTATTACCTTTAAATTACACAATAACTTTACTGGAGGAACTTGTCAGTTTGGTTAAAAAAAACAGTAAAAATAAATTATTTTGTCCTGTGCAGAGAACTTCCTCTGCTATAASTTTTTTAAAATAAACATTTCAAAGCTTGTCAGTTGAAAACACTAAAATAATAGAAAAGATGTTAAAAACCTCTTTTCTCAGAAAGTCTTCAGTCCTAAGAACACTAAACTGTAACTTTAATAAGGTCATGTACACGGTGTACTCCTAYTTAAATAAAAATGTTTGACCTGTACGCAAAAAGTATATTTGTATATACTAAACTTTGTATACATAACAATATACATATTGAATGAATGAATATTGAATGTATTGAAAGTATAATTTGTACAGTTATTGTGATATTTTTGTTTTCTGATAATGAATGTACAGCACCTTGTGAAATCCTTTTCTGTGAAAGGCGCTTTATAAATAAACTTTTACTTACTTATTATTTCACAAGACGTCTTGCCCCCATTTAACTTTGTTAATCTGGAGAGTTATTGCTGAATCATTAATCTGGAGAGTTATTGCTGAATCATTACTCTAAACTTCATCAGAAATATAATCCAGAAAGCTGTTACCAGTCTGTTCAGTTTCTCTGAGAAAATACAAAATACATTGGAGTCGGAGCGAGAGGCATTTCACTGATTTAACAGCAACTTTTTTATAGACAACCTGCAGGGATGGAGGGAAAAATGATGATGATTAAATGTAATGTTACCTACCGTATACACTTTCACATAAAACAYGCAGCAAATAGTAACAGTGATGTTGACATTGGTTTAGAAAATTAATGTCTGCCTCACTAATATTTATGTTTACTACTGTGTACAACTAACAAACATGATGACATAACAACACAACAACACTCCAACAGTACATGAACTGGGTTTAAAACAGTCAACAGATATCATTAATCAATAGTTAATCATCTCCGAGACAATTACTGTAAAACTGAAGGGAATTAGTATCCACTACTTTACCAAACACATTTGTACTTCCTCATCTCAAAATACTATAAACCAGTGGTGGGATGTAAATAAGTACAAGTACTTTCTTGCTGTACTTAAGTACATTTTTCATGTATCTGTACTTTACTTAAGTAGATTTCACCATGGGTATTTTTGACTTTTACTCCACTACATTTTACGTTAAGTATCTGTACTTTCTACTCCACTACATTTTACATTAAGTATCTGTACTTTCTACTCCACTACATTTTACATTAAGTATCTGTACTTTCTACTCCACTACATTTCTGTAATGCGTTGAATTACAAAGAACATTCATGTCACATCGATTTATTTTTTATTTTATTTGTGGTTTATTTGATTTTAGTGGTAAGAGGGGGAATTGCTGTAATTGGTCCATTGAACAAAGCAGGAGAGTACCATCACAGCCTCCTTCATAAAAAGCAGCATCATCATGCCCACACTGGTTTCCACCWGAGGAAATGTACCGTTCATGGTCTTATTTAACTGGTTCAAACAATGACTTGTTGAGATTTGATAGAGGAGGTTGGTGGTGAGTTTACAGTTTCTGCAGCTGTTGTCACAATATGTGATGATGCACAGACTCACAAGGACAAGTGTGAACAGTGTCACAGAGTGTAAACACACAACTATCCGCAGCTTTGTTCACTAAAATGGCACCATTGATGTATTAAAATATACACACAGTACGCACACTTCGTGATATTGTAGACCATTGGGGAACACATTAAGCAAGTACTTTTACTTTTRATACTTTAAGTATTTTTAAAAGCAAGTACGTACTTGCTTTTACTCAAGTAAAATGTTAATGTGGTACTTTTACTTTTACTAGAGTACATTCTTGTCTGCTAATCTGTACTTTTACTTAAGTACAGTGTTTGAGTACTTTCTCCACCACTGCTATAAACCCATATATATATATATAAAAGCAACGATTTATGTCTGTATGGTTACCGGAAGTTTGACGGAAACATACGGACAAGGCTTTTCAGACCTAGCCTAGCCTAGCCTAGCCTAGCATGCATAGCATCAATGCTACCTAGCTCCCGACACTTCACGGTTACGCATCATTTATTTCAACGGTTCACCTCTTACACAACCAACGCCAGTTATTGTTCTAAATAAACTAACTCTGCCCTAAATACAGATTTAGGAACGATATGTTTAAATGTCATTTCTCGAAGTGAAATTATTCCCGCGCGCGCGTTGTGTTGCGGCCTAACCAAACAAATCCGTCTGTGACAGTTTTCACTCACCGAGTAAAGCGGGAGCTCCTTCTTCCATCCTGGACCTTCAGCTCAGTGACATTACAGACGRGATTCAACCTGTCGAACCGCTCCACCGAACTCTAATGAGATGTTTCCCGGTGTTTCTGTCAGATACCGAAGTCTCCTGATTTCTTCTACGTCAGCGGCTACAGTTCCGTCAGGATCAACGGTCCGGCCTCAAACACTTTCATTTCGTTTGTTCCGCATACTTCCTCTTTTTTAACACATTAAACTATTTTCTAAATATGAAAATTAAGGGTGTAACTTTAGGTCTAACATTGGGAGGGTTATGCTCTGTATTTATTTATTTATTTATTTATTTATTTATTTATTTATTTATTTATAATGATTTAGGATGTTTTGGGGTTAAATAATGGGTTGTAATGTTGTTACTGTGGTTTCCTGTTTTCTTTACTCTGCACCTTTTCTCTTCCACGTTTTAAGAAAAGGAAATATTTTTTTCTCAGTTTTTCCAACAGTAAGAAATATTTTAGACATTTAAGATACAACATACCAAAATTTCTCAATTTTTGAAGAGTATGTATTTACCACTACAATCTGGATTGGAAAATTTACAACCCATGATTCAACAAATACAGTAATAATGTGACAAGAGCAGACTAATACTTTGACATTTTCAGCACTTATTCCTAAACGTCATGTATGAAATGTAAATTTTGATATCAGGTCAAAGACAACACGACAGTGGCAGCTGTTTATCAGTGTGCACTGCCAATGCAATGCACACTATTGTGATTCGTTTCCCATCCAAGTCATCTCATCTTTGCCATGCTTCTCCTCCTGCCTACATTGTCCTAGAGCTGCCATTGTAATTTATATCTGTAAAGCTCCTGTGCCAAATGATGACTATGCCTTTTGGTGCTTGTACAGCTTGAAGTTTTTGAAATATTAATGTTTAAACTTTATTCCAAATTCATATAATGGGAGTCAGTGATCATAAACCCACTTACCTTTTCAAATTGAACACATTGCTGCTCATGATGAGGAGATGGATGTTCTCTTCAGAGATCTCCTCTCAGACCTGGAGCATCCTGGACTGTCTGGTCATGGTGGTTGGTTGGAATGAGACTTGATGTCCCAGATGTGCTCGGTTGGATTCAGGTCTGAGGAACGGGCAGCCAGGCCAGAACATCAATGCTTTCATCATGCAGAAACTGCTGACGTACTTCAGCCACATGAGGCCCAGCTTTGTTGTGCATTAAAGAACCCAGGACCATTGATCTGTGTTACTGGACCGGACATCACCGATTAGTCACCATAGCACCCATAGGTGCCATTACTATGCATTGAATCATGTCAACAAAAATGGTACAGTTCCAATGCGGGATGCACATCATAAATTAAATTTAGCTAATTTCAGATTTATTAAAAGTTCAATATCCATTCAAGCTGCTAAAACATTTATGCACTCAGTGATTTTCTCTCCTTTCAAATATTGTCTAATAAGCTGGTTTCAGACTAACTCCACCGCTCTGAAACCAGTACAGTCTTTATACAACCACACACTCAAAGTACTGACAAGAACCACAACACTTTCATCACTGCTCCGTTTTAGTAAAATACAGTCTTCTAAGTTGGGACAACTTTATTAAATACATGAATGCCTGTCAGACATACAGAATCATACACAGGATGGCCCCACCCAGGGGAAAAAATATTATACTCAGTATACTAAATCTAAGTATACTGTGGTACACTTGAAGCCACACGAATCATCAGTATACTTAAAGAGTGCTACTTTAGAACAACTAATTTAATACTAAATATACTTTAGTTGTATTTAAGTTGTACAAAAGCACAATTTTAAGTGTATTAAGTATACTTTTAAATACTAAAATGGAACAACTTAGAATATACTTAGTACACTTTAAGTGTATATCTTTGTCTATACACTTAAAGTGTACTAAGTATAATTGAAGTTGTTCCATTTGTTCCACTGGATTTAAATTTACAATATGTTTTGGAAATGTGCATTAAAATATACACTTTTACAAACACATATAAAGTATATTTTAAAAAAGAATATAAAGTATAAATAATAATAAAATATGTTTTTATAATGTGTACTTGAAATATCCTGATGCATCTCAGTAATCCAGGTAAAAAATCAAAAAGAAAAAAATTGTATAGGTCTTCTGGACGGGTTCTTCTCTAATGAAACGTTTCGTCTCTCCTCCAAGAGACTTCTTCAGTCTGAGAGTTTCAGGCTRAATTCAGGCTTTTAAGCCCTGCCTCCATGTGACTGATACTCACATCACATGGCTATCGTTGACACCTAATTAACACTTATTGTTAACAGGGGGTGGAGTGATACTGGCAATAGCCGCGCTGTAGGAGGGGGACAGCTGAAAACGGAGGCCTCCACCTCTGTTTAATGATGGACGGTCTTTCTTCACAAARATGGCTTCTTTTACTCCTCTCTCAAACCAACGTTCCTCTCTATCAAGAATGAGAACATCCTCATCTCTGAAAGAGTGACCGCTGGCCTGTAAATGAGTGAAAACTGCAGAGTTCTGGCCATTAGATGTAGCTCGTCTGTGTTGGGACATTCTTTTGAACAGTGGTTGCTTTGTTTCCCCGATGTATAACTGGTCGCAGTCCTCCTGGCACTTAACAGCATATACAACATTGCTCTGTTTGTGCCGGGGCACCGGATCTTTGGAAGTCTGAAACTCTCAGACTGAAGAAGTCTCTTGGAGGAGAGACGAAACGTTTCATTAAAGAAGAACCCGTCCAGAGGACCTATACAAGTTTTTTCCTTTTGTACTTGAAATATATTTTAAAAATAACATATCTGAAGTATGGTCTTTGAAATATACTTTTTTTACATTTTGAATATAATCCTAATAAGTACACTCTAGTAATATTATATTCAGAATATATTTCTGTAAAATGCAGTCTATTTAAAATATACTTTAGTATATTTTTGTTCCACCTTGTCAGTCTCAGAACATCCACACTGGGAATCAGTTGCGTGTCCAGAGGTGACTGTATTATCCCAGTTAGAACAAGTGTTTTTAGTCGGTCTGTTTTCTCTGTTGAAGCTCCTCATGAATGGAACCATTCCAACAACAGACACATCAACATGTAGAAAATATTCAACTCATCTTAAACAATGGCTGATTAGTACCAAACCTGCTGCCGACATCATGTGATTCACCTGTGAATGTTTCTCTTTTGACCAATTAAACTTTGTTTTATGATTTTATCAACACTGTTTGCCATTTTATCATGCTTCTATTAAATGTCTTAATGTTTTATTGATGTTTGATACTCACATTGTTGATTTTATGTTCTTACTAAACGATTTGCTGTTGCTGCTTGTGCTTAAAGAATAGCTGTACTACTCTTTAGAGCTAATTTTATTTGTATCTCACTGTTTTAGCTGCCATTGTTGATTTTATTGTTTAACATTATGTCTTCCTACGATGCCACTGTACAACTGGCCACCAGGACTACAGATGGAAACTAGCCTTTGGCTAATTCTACTGTTGTTAATATGCACTGTCCTGCTAAATAAAATACATTAAAATTAAAATCTGTGCCCTCATTTTCCCATTCACACACTACTACATCTCTCTACAAAGCTAATTCAGATAAATCAATCTATAGAGACTAATCACACTGATGCACCTGTCCAGGGACACTTCAACATGTGACTGAATAGTGGTGGAACTGAACCGCCGACTCCCCTAAGCACTCAGCCACAGCCGCCCCTAAAGTGACCAAAACATCAGCCAGAAAGCATGAGAACAGAGAAATGGTCCGTGGGAACCACTGCTTTATGGGGCTTGTCTTGATAGTTGCCTCTCATTTCTTCCTGTCTGTTCCATTTGAACAAAGGATGAAACTGATCACCCGCTTCGGATGTTATCATCCATTAAATGGACGTTATTAGCAGTTATCAGTCCCATAGAATGGCTTCAGACTGTCAGCTGGTTAATATGAGGCATAAAACCACTAAGGTTAATTTTAGAGAAAATGACATGGGCYATGATAAAGTAAACCAGACTCCGGCGGTAGCAGATTGTTGCATTCCAACATATATGGCACTGGTAACCCACTAGGGGGCACTGTCAGGACAGTCTGAAGCCATTCTATGGGACTGATAACTGCTAATAACATCCATTTAATGGACTGATAACATCCGAACCGGCTGAATTGATTCACCATCAGTGTTGCTTCCCAATTGGATGGGCTGATTTCACAAAACTGTGATTGACTTGGAGTTACATTTTGTTGTTTAAGTTTCTTTATTTTTTGGGCAGTGTACTTTGAATGAGATCTTTTAACACTGCAGGAGTATAAAACACATGTGCAAATAAACAAAAGAATAACCACCAACTAGAACTAGTTTGGCTGATGGTCCTCTTTTGCATGTGACTAACCTGTTTGTCCACCATGTGGAGGCGGAGCTTATAAGGCTGAGTTTACCTGAAACTCTCAGACTGAAGAAGTCTCTTGGAGGAGAGACAAAACGTTTCATTAAAGAACCCGTCCAGAGGACCTACTGATTTTTTTTTGATTTTTCACCAACTAGAACATTTCTGAAAACATTTTAAAAGGTGTACTGCCTGTAATTACAACATACTGTACATCTACTTTCTTCTGATTAGCCCAGCTGTCATTTGGGACTAAGGTTTTTCAGCTATGAGTTCCAGTAATCTAATTTAAAGAGTTTAGCTGTATCTTTGAAATTGCACGTTGAAACATTTTCCCGTTTGTCCACTAAACACTTTAAAACTGAATAATTCTCTTAAAAATGCCAGATCTATGTATATTTTTAAAAGACAAATAAAAGCAAGTTTTTTGAAGGTATACTGTAAGAAAAGTAAAATGTGAAGCTATTTGAATTGTTGTTTGAGTTGACGTTTTTATGTTGCTGTTTTTTATTTTTATTTTATTTATTTAGTATTGTTTTGTAAATTATGTTTTGTTTGAATATATTCTGAGGATAAAAGGGGCAGACATAATAAGATTTACTCATATTCTGCTACCTTTTATTTTATTTTGATTCTTGGTTTATTTTTTGTTATTGTATATAGT